GGTCAGTGGTGAACATCACCCAACTGGATTTGGACTTTGAAGCAAGATACTCAAAGAGCTGGACATACCACGCGTCACAATCTGCATGTAGAGCGGAATAAATGTTTTTGTTTTTCAGTCGTAGAAACTCAACAGAAGACATGACCACCTCTTTCTAGCCCAATATCCCATTTCTGACAGTAGTCTCCAAGGCTCATAGGGCTCACAAAGTAGCTGCCTTCTGTGATGTTCCCCATGGAGGCAGAGGCTTTGGCCAAACCTATCTGCTTCAGAAAAAACTTCCTCAGGCACACAGGTAAAGTGATTTACATAAATTCACAGGATCGTGACTAGCAAAGTCCAAGCCACTGAAAAATATAAGGCCAGGCAATTTTATACACATATTTTAACAAGTCAGTAAAATAGCGGGGACTTTTCGGGCTGAAAATTGAAATTTAATGATATCATATTACTCTGTTGTAACCAACCAACCAAACACATAATCTCGAACAAGAACAACTTCTTGCTAATTATGAAGATATTGGAAAGGAAATACATAAGAACAAAAACTTTGATTTAGCTAGGTACAATGGCTCACACCTGTAATCTCAACTACTCGGGAAGAAGAGATCTGGAGGATCACAGTTTGAGGACAGCCTGGGCAAATGTTAGCAAGACCCGATCTGAAGCAATAAGCTGGGTGTGGTGCTGTGACCCCATGATCCCAGCTATGAAGGAGGTTGTAGGTAGAAGGATCACAGTCTGAAGTTGGCCCCAGACAAACATGTGAGACCCTATCCGAAAAATAATGAAAGCAAGTGGTAGAGTGCCTGCCTAGCAAGCATGAGGCCCTGAGTTCAAACCCCAATACTGCCCAGAAAAAGAAATAAACAACACTTTGATTTGTGCCCATGTACCACAGATAGTAATCAATGTATGGAATGATTTTCCTACAAATTATTTGAACCAATTAGCCAGTCCTAAAAAAGTACTCTCTTCTATATCAACTAAAATATCCAACAATAAAATAATATAGGCCTAGCTCTGTCTAACTTCTTTTAATATCTAAACTAATGATGTGAACGATTATCTAAAGGCAAACCAAACAATTTCTAATCTAAATAAAACTTTTTGTTAAAATGACACACATACAAATCCTCCACAAACAATCTACCAGGTCTTTAAAAAAAAATTCTCAGTGATGTACAGCAGAGGGGCCTCAATAAGCTACTAAGTATAATCTACTTCTATGTAGTTTAGCATAATTGCTAAATCACAATGTGCGTGATAAAAAGATAGGTTTATTAAAGATTGCTATTCTTTAAACAATTGGTCTATACTAAGGAATTATGTATGCATGCATAGGTGTATACTAATATATAGATAGAACTACTATTTTAGTGACAATCTGTGTAATTTACATACAAGTACCACCTTACAGATTTCATCTGTATGACATGAAATAAAAATAAAATAACATTCTGAAAATACAAGTAATACAATGAAAATACATATAGAATTAGAGGATAGCTTCCTAGATATGTCTTTACCAATACAAAGTAATGGGAATACAAATTGTTTTTGCTTTTCCTGAATGGTAAGAATAAAGCCATATTACTTCAAAAACAGATATACACAAAATTGTAACATTGAATTTTAGCCAAGATTAAAGGAAAAAGGACATAAATGGAAACCATGTTTATCATACTGCTCCTTTGAATTCATTTTTGACTCCAGTATTGGAAATAGCCCTCTTCTGTTCATGTAATTAAAAATTTTCTTTAACCTTTGTTTGACAGAAGAAAAAACAAGTTAATTTTATGCTCTTGCATCTATAGTCGTGTCTCATTTCAGGTCAATGCTCTAATAATCACTTTTTTATTGAAATTTAAGTTGTTGACTTACAAACTTTGGTTTGTAAGGAGATGAAAGATGAGAAAATTATTTTTAAAACATTTAATCTTCAAAATATAGATTCTCAGAAGGCCCTTCTAAAATAATTTTCTCTTGGCTGATACCAGGGCCACTTCACTTCTGGATAACATCCTTCCTTCATTGTCCTCAGTGGCTGGATCTTATCCTCATCCTTTGTTTTACACAGGGAGGTGAGGCTGGAGGGCTTTTATGGATTCCTCTGGTGGATAGACTGCACTGAGACAAGAAAGTTCTCTCCTGCTTCCACCAGTCAATAAAATAATATGCTTTCTTTATAATACTGTTGCATAGTGCTTTCCGCTTCTCAGTACCTTAACTTTGTCAAGACATTTTTCACAAATATACTCTTTTCTCCTTAAAATCCACTCAGCCAATGTTTACTCTATCCTATAATGTCTTTAAATGTCCCAGAATGTATTCAATTTTCTCCTAACCTACTTTTGAGAAAGATTCCAAACATTCTTGAAAGACTGGTGATTGAGGAAACCAAAAACCATTTCTTTATAATCTCCAAGAAAAAAAAACAATCTCAGTGCAAGAATGCCATTCATACTTTGCAGTACACAAAATATCACAGATATCACATAACACAATGTGGGTGTTATTAATCATTTCAGTTCAGTGACATAAAACAAATGTACAGAAAATATGTAATAGTCCCCTAAAAACATTTCATGCTATGCTCTCAAATGTGCGAAAATAAAAATACAGCAGTGGCAAAGTATATACCAAACTGTACAGCATGTAGTGTAACTAGCCATACTGTAGAAGCCACCATTTCTGGAAACTTCAGTTCTGCATGAAATCAGCCACTCAGTTCCGCTTCGTCTGGCTGCTCTCCCCGTTAATTAGTGTCTTCTCTTGCTGTTCTGCAAGGGCCTGCCATTTCTGCCTGTTCTTTCTGCAGCCATCCAGTAAAGGAAAACAGTCCTCTGATACGTGGGTCAGAGCCTAAAGGCAGAAAAGGAAAGGAAAAAACTAGAAGGAAGCCCGGAATTAAGCCTTCACCCACAAGCCTGAGACTAAGGGTCACATTCCACACTCACTTCACTCACAACCCCAACACTCACTGTTGGGGTTCTCACGGATCATTTACATTTACAGGCCCTCCAAAGCGACAAGCTCTGGAGGCAGGGCTGTGTGGAATCTGCTTTTCTAGAAACAATACATTTTGTTTCTATGTAGGATAGGTGGCTATCCCTAGTATGAATACTTGGGTTTTATACAATGTACTTTTTAATCCAAGATTATAATAAAGGCTAATTCATAATTCTATATGGCATTATTATTTACCAACTATAGTGTCATGAATATTTAGCTATAAGAATATTCATTGTAGATTTCTTTGTAACAGAGAACATTGAAAGTGACAAATACCTGATGATAGGGTTAGGTCTAGTTTGTAACTATTTTATACTCATTAAAAATGTTATAGAAACACATTTGGCATAGAAATAGGTATATTATGCTATATTATGGATTGCAAAAAGCAATTTTTATTAAATAAAAAGAATATGAAAATATCATAAAGTATATGCACTAATATGTTATCAGTAGTTACCTCTGAATAGTGGGATTATAAGTGATTTCATCTTTCATTTTGCTTTTCAGTACTCTAGGTTTTATACAATGAAAACATACTACTTCTGCAATAATGGTAAGAGTATTTATCAGTATGACAGAATTTTCAACAGCAGATTCAATCAGAATGAATCCTTATGCATATACAGAACAGGTAGAGGATAGAATCTCAAGGGGTATATGGTTGTTATTTTGACTGCATTTACAGGGGTGAGAAAAATCAAAGGAGCCATTGGTATTTCCAACTGAGAAACTCTTTATTCAAACAACAGGGATAACACCTGTCATATAAAAAATGAGATTTTCAAGGGGGCTTGAAACACTGCTCGGAACAACTTCTGAGGAAGAACATGTAAAAAAAGGAGTATACAAGTTGAACAAATCCTAGAAAAACATGTGGACTTGGTGCAGAGGAGTGATTCCTTTTTTTCTGTTTCCTTTATCTCTGTCTCCTCCTCTTCTTTTCCCTCACCACAGCTTCGTTATGAATTCTTTTGATGGCTAGAACCCTGGACTAGAAGTGAGAACTGGACTTTAGTGCAGTTCTCCCACTACCCACCTACCTGTTCAGAACAGACATTCTATATCTCTGGAAGATGAACTTCACACATTCAGTTACTGAACTGTATATTAGAATATGCAATGTGCATATTAGAAAATTTCTAGGTTTGTTCTGGTCTTGATAGTCTATGAAAACTCCATGACAAATGTTCTTTCTCCAAATAAAAAGAACTTAAAACCACTTCCTAATTGAACTTTTAAAGACAAAGATGGTATTCCTTTCTGTACTGCAGTCATAAATATCTAAACCAGTTAACTGGATATTTTAGGAGAATCATTTTACCTGGAAAATAAAACAACGAAGCCAAGCCAGCAGAACTATGGAAATGGGAGCCTGCAATATCTTCTAGCCACCTTCTTTTAGTACTCAGAAAATTTTTCTTAACAATAATATTTATGCATTAAATGAATTAGTCTATGTAAAACAGGAAACATAAAAAGTGTTCCTGTCCAATGCAAACATATGTTCATTAGTTAAAAAACTACTAATGATTTTATTTCTTGTTTCTTGACTTGGAAGCAAAAAAATATATGCCTAGAATTAATCTCTTAAATTTACTGCAGGTTTTAACTCATAACAGTCTAAATTTAGCAAGTCTAATAGCTTTCACATAAATACCTCATACAGTTGCAAGCAGATGGCATCTATGAAACCAACTTGCATGCTTGGGATTTTGTTTTTCTTCTCCCTGTTCATTAGATCCTGAAAATACACACAAAGACAGATCTACATTTATTTCAAGAACACAGTGAAGGTTGACCATAAAAAGATGAAATCAGTGGATTGACTTAGGAAGGTCAGATAGTAATTATATGGACACCCACCCTAAAAAGAAAGAAACTGATGTTTCATTTTCTAAAAGACAGAGGTTTGAGAGAAACCTTTTCATTTAAGATCCATATTTCTATGTAAAAAGGCAGTATATATCAAATACCTTTAAATTCTATGTTCTCTTCTTGGAATTATCCTAAGGATAATGAAAAATGGCATACAGAAGTTTAGCAACATAGAGGTTTATCACTGTGCTCTTTATAACAGTGAACACTGCAAACATTATAATAAAGGAGGTAGATAAATTATGACTACATTTATGTCATGTAATTATGACAAATAATACATAGGAGAGCATCTTTCAGAATAAAAGTGGCTTATCAGATTTAAACGGAAAAAGCAAATTACAAAAAAAAAGTGGAACAATATGATGGCCGCAAGAATTTGGGTTTTTTTTTTTTTTTTTTTTTTTGCTAGGCAGGTGCTCTACCACTTGAATCAATCTGTAGCTTCCTGCAAGAGCTTTTTTGTCCTCTTACTTGGTTTTGTTTTCTGTAATGAAAAATGTATAAGTCTTCTAATAAGAAACACTTTTAAAAATAAAGTGAGAAATTGCATTCCTAAGAAAAGATTCCATAGAAGCAAAAGAGGTGCACAAATTTAGCCTGGCATGGTACAGGCCTGTAATCCCAGTGCTTGGATGGGGGTAAGGCAGGCGGATCTATAGTTCAAGTCCAGCCTGGGCAACATGCCAAGATCCTACCTCAAAGAAAGCATACAATTTAAAAAGTACATTCAAGTAATGCCTACCAAGAAGACGTCATACTTACAGTGGGCTCTATGTTGAGTTCTTTTCTCTCTCTGTCTCCTTGGTCAAAAAATTCAGTTGCTATAAGTTCTGCTATCTGAAATAAACACCAGACTGAGTTTTGGTAAGAAAAAGTGTGTCATTCTTTAAAACAGAGACTGAATGAAGATAAAAAAACAAATAAAATCTGTAGTTTTCAACCACATCAGTAAAAATAGAGTTAAGTAGTAATGAGTAGTAGAAATTATATTTCATTTGTTTTAAATGTAAAAGGAATCACAAAACAAGCATTTGTAATCTTCTGTAATTAAGCATGAAAAAGCAACATGTTATTTCAGCTTCACCAATTAGTAGGAAAACTGTGCCCAGCTATATGCATAACCAGTGAGATATTTATTAAGAGTCTGTTTATAAAAGGTGGTGTGAAAAACACAGTATCAAACAGGTCCTATAGTATAACTCTTGATATGCCTTTAAGTTTCTTTTAATCTACAGATTCCTCTGTTTTCTCTCTGTTAAATTTCTCTTACAATTTTTTTTGTTGATGAATAAACTAGGATTTTTATCTTGCAGCATTTCCCACAGTCTGGATTTTGCAGGGTGCCACTTACTATGCTTCTTGGTACCACATACTTCCATATGCTGGTAATGAGATCTAGAGGCTCGATTAGATTGAAATTTACTTTTTTTCAGTCACAGCTCCTTATAAGCAGTGCTGTACAATTCCTTCAGTGGCTGTGTAATGCCTGGCTGCATCCCTTTTTGTGATATTGGCAATCACTAATGATCTTTACCCAGATTTGTTAATTTAGGAGCTTAAAAGGGGTGATATTCAAAGTCAAATTTTTTTTTTTTGTGGTGCTGGGGATTGAACTCAGGGCCTACACCATAAGCCACTCCACCAGCCCTTTATTTGTGATAGTTTTTTTCGAGATAGAGTCTCGTGAACTATTTGCTGGCTTCGAACTGCAATCCTCCTGAGTAGCTAGGATTATAGGTGTAAGCCACCAGCACCCAGCCAAAGTCAACATTCTTTTTTCCTTGATTATCTGAAATATAGTAAAGAGAAACTTCTCCACATCAATTGTACTTTATCCTAAAGTACAATTCATATAAAAAAGTATAGGAGAAATGCTTGATTTTCCTCATTTTACCCTTTTAAAAAATAACTTGGCTCTTAAGCATCTACCAATCATGACCATGGAATGTTTTGTTTTTATTAGTTTCTTTTGTGTGTTTGTTTTACTATTTTAAATTCTTGGATTTAAAAATTTATGCATTTTAAGCCTTAAATTCTCAAATTTAAGGCTCAAATTCTTCCATTTTGGCTTATTAGGTTGGGTCCTCCTCCATCCCTCCCACCTCTTGCCTGGACTGGCTTCAAACCATGATCCTTCTGATCTCAGCCTCCCAAGCAGCTAGAATTACAGGAGTGAGCCACAAGTGCCTGGTATGTCCTCCTTTTTTTAGACACAGTCTTTGCTAGCTTCCTTTCTTTCTGGGATAACAAGATGTTTTAGTTCTGTCTTCCTGTTCAAAACTAGAACCAGACATTTCTTCATGAAGTCCTTGATCCTTTAGATGGGGGTATTTAAAACCTCAGGATGGTACTACTGGATTTTATTGCTGAGTTGATCATTTTTTAAAAAATGCTTTCAGGAGATGGAGCTAGGACACAACATAAACTCATGGAATATTTCCAATTCAGATTCAGGACAATACAATTTTGGCACAACCCATCTGTCTTAGATCTTTATCTTTCCACTCATCCTGAAAATTGTAGTTCTCAACAATACTGTTACAATTTTTATTTTCTTCTATCCCACATCATCCACAATACTGACTGAATATCAACATCAAATTACTACTAATAACATGGTTATTAAAAGTTTTTAAATAATTCTTTTTTATTTTAGGGTAGATCCCATGAGAGACACATGTTTGTTTCAAGGGCTAGGGCTCAGAGGTAGCAGGGTTGCCTAGCATGCTCAAGGCCTTGAACTGACCCAGCAGCACTGCAAATAAATAAGTAAAATTCTGCTTCCATGTCATTTGGAGAGAATTAGTCCTTCCAGAGTGGTTCTGCAGCCAATGTCAAGTTTATTTCATTTCTATTTCCAAAGTCTAGTGATTTAAAAAAATGTACTCAATTTTATTTTGTAATCGTGAAAACCATTTTGTTATTAGGAAAACTTATGTTTCCAAAGTTAAATCTTCAAAACAAGTATTTTCAAGGAACCTCAATCCTATTCTGTCCTTCCTCTATAGGAAATCATTAACATTTTTCGGTTAAGCTTTTTTTTTAATGTAAGCAAACATATACATATATTCATATTTTGCTCCCTTCTTAGATAAATGATAGCATACAATACATTTTTCTCTCCTTTTCTTTTTTTTTACTTAAAATATATTTTTGTACTCTCCATAGACATAATCCTCATTCTTATTTTCAGTTGCTCAGAACTCATTGTGTGAAATGTACTGTGATTTATTCAGTTATTACTCCGCTGTTGATGTTTGGATTATTTCTACTCTTGGGTACTACAAATAACACTAAAATGAATATCCTTAAATAATTATCTTTTTTATGTTCTTGCCAGCATATCTTTGGGATAAGATTTCTAGAAGCAATGGCAAATGAATATATATATGCATGCTTTCAAAGGATTTTGCATTCTGTATTTTTTCCACAGCTTCTTCAACTAAGTATGTTGTAAAACTTTTGGATTTTTGTCAATCTGACTTAAAAAATTATATCTCAGTGAATTTTTTAATGAAGGAGAATTTATATAGATTAAGTATATTGTTCAGTGTATCAGTAAATGCATAAACTATGTAATGAGCACTCTAAGATGCAGAATATTTCTGTTACCCCAGAAGGTGCCCTCATGCTCTTTCCTAGTCGTTCTTTATCCCTTTTTTTCTCCCTCCTTCTAAAACTACTATTATAATTTCTCTTATCATTGACTAGTTTTTGTGTATTCTAGAACTTCATATAAATAAAATCAGAGCACGTACTCTTTTGTGTCTGGCTTATTTTTTGGTGTTTATGAGAGTCAAAGATGATATTGCATCCACCAACCATTAGTTTATTTTTATTGCTGAGCAATATCCCATCCATTCTCCTGTTGGTAGATGTTTGAGCTGTTTCCAGTTACCAATTACTAGGAATAACACTATTAGGGGATTCTGTATAAGTCTTATGGTGTCCATGAAGTTTTGATTTACATTTTCTCTTATGATTATCAAATGGGTTAAAGGCCATTCACACTATTTTTTCAATCAATTTTTTCTGTTCAAATCTTTGGTCCAGCTTTTCAATAAAAAAGCTGGTCTTTTTTCTTCTCTACTCTTAGTTCTTTATAAATTGAGAATACTAACTATCAGAATAAGTTGCAAATACTTCCACAAATTCTTCATTGTCTTTTATTTTGCCTATGATGTCTACAGCTGTGCAAAATGTCCTTTTATACAATCAATTTTGTCAATCTTTCCTGTAGTCTTTCTGCATGTTGAGCTATAGTTAGGAAAATTTTCTAACTTCCAGTTTACAGAAGAATCCACTCACGTTTTCATTTCGAACTTGTATGACTGAATTTTCTACACTGAATTCTATACTTAATTTGGAATTTAACTATGTAGAGTAGATCCAATTCTGTCTTTTCTACCTGGTTATCACTCATACCAAAACTATTTAGTAAAAGTCTATCTTTTCCACAGTTATTTGAAATGCTATCTTTTATTATATACTGTTATATGCAATTCTAGATTTGCTATGTTCTACTGGCCCACTACCGAAACCAAACTTTTAATTAGAGATTTTGCAGTATTGTTTCCATGTTTGAACTCCAACCTTATTGTTCTACTTTTTCAGGATTTTCTTGGATAATTTCGCCTTTTTTTTTTTTTGTCTTCCCAAATGAATTTTGAAATCAATTCACCTAGCTTCAGCACAAAAAGTAAGCAGTTTTTTCAATTGTAAATGCATTAAATCTATACATTAACCTAAAGAGAGAGAAGTAACACCTTTACACTGATGATTTTTCTGTATGTAAGAACATGGAATACTTTTTCATTTATCTCAGTCATTTTGTGCTTTAGTAACATAAAATGTTTTCTAATATTCTTCATATAATTTTTTCATCTGCTTCAGCTTATACTTAGGTTATTAATTTTACTTACTCTTCTCTATTATATGAAAGGTCTTTTCTTCCATTATATCTTTTTTTCTTTTTCTTTAGACAAAGAATTGATATACAGCCTAGGCTAGGCTGAAACTTGTGATCCTCTTGCCTCACCCTCCCGAGTGCTGGGATCATAGGTGTATGCTACCACCCCCAGCCTCTATTGTATCTTGTAATTAATTTATTTGTTTGGTTTTTTCCATTGCTTAGTTTAGGTTTTCCAGTTATATAACAATTTTATTTACCTCTTTATTTAAAATTCTTATGACTCTTAATTGCTTTCACCTATTTTATTCCATTGGCTAGTATTGTGAACACGAAATTTTAATTTTTAACCTACTTTTTAGAATTATTATTTTATTCTTTTAAGGGAGTATCTTTTTTTTTTATATATTTGTGGTACTGGAGATTGAATCCAGAGCCTTGTGCATGCTAAGCTATGTCCCTCGCCCAAGGGAGTATCATTTTTAAACACGAATGGATATTATATTTTGACAAATGTCATTGTTGTATTTGCTGATATGACTGTATGATTTTAATATTTTTTCTTTTTGCTTCTACTAACATAATGAAAATGACTGTTTATAATGTCACATCCTTCTGAAATCAGCTGTAGAAACCAATGTTTTAGAAATAATAAAAATACAAAGGGAGAATGGTGCTGCTGGCAAGGAGAGACATCAGTGCCCTTGAGATGTCACGGTCATCCCAGGGGTGGTGGGAGTAGTGGTGAGCATTTATGTACTATGTGCCAAGTTTTGCCATCTAATCCTCCAGTCTTATGAGGTACATATCTCATTTTACAGATGAAGAATTGAGGTCCAGGGATAAGGTAACTTTCACAAGGATAACAGCTAATAAGTAGCAGCACTATACTTGCACACAAGTTGTCCAAGTCTAGCAAGTACTTTCTCCATTATTAAATTTGCCCCTCTGTTTCTGTAACTCTGTCCTTGGTAGCTTCCAATATTTTTCCATTGGGTTTTATTTTTTAAAAACTTTCCTTTTATTTTCCTCCAATAAAACAACAGGTTTAAGGGCTTCAGTCGGAAGAAAGAATAAACAGAATGACAGATTCTCCCTTCTTCACGTTTTTCCCTATTTAGAAATGGGTATACAAGTCTATCTACATTTAATAGTGCCCAGGAAGCTATGTAACAATCACCTTTCCAGAGTGCTATGGCATGTCAGTTTTAGCACAGAGGGTGAGTTTTTAACCCTGTTTTCTCAGTACATGTGTTTCATGAGATGAACCCATAGATGCTGTGCTCTAGGACTATGTAATCTGGAGCCTTGACCAACAGCAGACTGTCAGCAATCTTTAATAGTACATTAAGATTCAAAATACACTCTCAAAAACCAAAACTACAAATACACATCACTGCATACCCAACCACTTTTCTGAGCCTTTTTTGCCTCTGTAAATTGTGACTTCTCATTTAGAAAAAAGGATTTATTTCTAGCTTCCTGATCAGATTCTTCCCAACATCTTATATCAACATTTCCTACATCTACTTGTTAATGCCTTCTTGAAGCTGATAAATAGCCTAATTAGGCTAGCCATAAGAAAATTAAATGGAAATAAAAGAAAAATGAAAAAAAAAAAAGAAAATTAAATGGATATAACCAAAAAAAATACCAAAGTTAGCCAGAAGTAGTACTGAAATTAAAACATCACTAGCTAGGTTTTGTGTTCTTCTCTTTCCTAACACAATGTACAAATATCAGGTGCAAATGAATCTTCTAAAAACCAAGGAAAGCCTTTTATGTCGAATTATTTGCTTTCAATATGGTTTAAATAAATAAATGTTTACTTTAGGAGCTACATTTAAGTGTAGTTTTTTTTTTTTCTTATTTTGACTTTTTAGTTATGACTTGTATCATCACTAAGCAACATACCCGTTGTTGAACAGGCCAGGGTTTTGTAATTGCAGAAACATCACAAGCTGTCATCAGCATTGCCCTGTTAAGGGAAAAAGAAACCCAAAACTCCTGTTATTTTTATGTGAAGATACACCCTCAGTAAATCATAACTAATAAAAATGTTAGTTTAAATCCTTCTCAACAACAGGAATGACCGTTTAAGAAGACCACAAAACAGAATTTATACAGAAGCCTGACCAACGTGATGATGACAGAGCATCATTGTTTTGGTCACCCTCTGAGAGGGAGTTTGTCCTCAGTCTGACAACTCCAGCTTCAGATTGGCACAAGGAAATGATTAAACCTTTGGGTAAAAACTTGCCTGCTATTAGTATTTCTTTCACCTTGGTTGCCATTCTCAGTGGAAGGATGATGAAGACCCACCGATGACTAATACACAACCATTAAAGGATAACATCAGGTTATCCTTATGAAAGTCTCATGTCAGAAATTAAAGTCACCCTAATTCCCTCACTATCTGTAGTGCATTCTATGTGAAAAGCCTTGCAATGATTGAACAGCATCTGCTGACTCTCCTTTTCTCTAGCAGAGGAAGGGAGAAGTGAGAAGATGGCATTCTCAGTCCTTCCCTGATAATAGAGGTCCTTGGAGTTGTAACAGGATGCTCTGGAGCTGAATATTGTAGGTAGTGCCTAAAAATGGTTCTGTCTTTAGCACAGTGCTTTTCTACCTTAGATCTAAGTGTCTGCCATATAATCCTTTCAATTTGTCTGAATAGGCAAAAGCTGTTGAGTGTTGAGAAACACTTAAGGCAAAGCATCACTTGTCCCTGTGGTGAAACCCATCCTAAAGTATATTTAGGCCCTAACCACATAAGGTCACAAATAAAATGTTGTCCTACTGCTGCTACTATCTCTTATGATGACTCTCTCACAGGAAATAAGTGCATTGGATTGGAGATCTTTTAAATTACTGTATGAACCACTATCATGAAGGATTTCAAGAATACTTGCCAGAACAAATGCCTCTACCAATGATTATGCGAGGCACCTATATAAGCTTAACTACAGTCCAAACAATGAAGGGGACAGGCAGTGATGCTGAGGTGAAACTGCACGCTTCTCTGTGAGAGGTCATAGGCCAGTAGAGTGTGACAGCCAGAACTGGTTCATATTTGGAGTTCACCTTTTGTTACTGAGAAAAACTATTCACTAACTCCCGCAGCATGTCTGTACTTTGGTAAAGCACTGTTCTGAAAAACATGTTGAGGCTATTAAGTGAGGCATGAGTACACAGAACAGACAGCTGTGCATTGTTTCCTTGGAATTTGCATTTTTCTCTGCATGCCAAGTAATCTCAGATTATTAAAGAAATGTTGATTTTAGTGGGGATGGGTGGGGGAAAGGAGAAAGTACTTGGGAGTGAAGAGGATTGAACTATGTTACAAATATGTACACACACACACATATATATATATATATGAAGATAGCACAATGAAACCCATCAAATATTGTTTGAAAAGGGGGGGGGGTTGGAGGAGGGAATAAGGTTAAGGGAATATAATAGAGGTGGTGAACTTATTCAAAGTATACTGTACACATCTATGGAATTATCACAATGAAACCTGCTTGTACTACTAATGTATGGTAATAAAAATAGTTTTAAGAAAAAGAAGGAACAAGTGAAGCCTCAGAGATCATCATGCTGTAACTAGTAATTGCAATAAAGACTGATAGAGAATTAGATGGGCAGCAAACCTTTACACATAGTAAACTGACTTACAGAAATAGCTCCTTTTGATGAGGATCTTCTAAATTGAATTGATTTTTTCTTATAAGTTCAAAAAATTCTCCTCGCCTCCTTGAAAATAAAGAAAAACATTTGGTAATTATGTCAAGTCCTCAGGTTCATCCTTTTGGTCTATAGGGAATAAAAATTAATTTTTTTCCATGTTAGAAGCCAATATAAAAAAATTATCCTTAAAAATATTTAAATACCTCACTTCATTCTCCTCATTTGCTTTGGGTGGAATAGTAAACCTCACTTACTTTTTCTTTTGATTGTATTGGGCTTAACTCAGGAGACCTGCACTTGCCAGGCAGGTACTCTACCACTTCCGCTATGCCCCCAGACCTTTTGCTTTAGTTTATTTTTTTCAGGTAGGGTTTCCATTTTTGTGGGTGCTGGCCTTGGACTGAGATCCTCCTACTTAAGCCTCTCACATAGTTTGTATTACAGACACAAACCACCGTACCAGGCTTATTTGTTGAGATGGGGTCTTTGCCACCTCTTAAACTGTGATACTCCCAATCTCCACCTTTAAGTAGCTAGAATTACAGGGGTGAGCCACCATGCTGGCCCATAACTTTGCCTCATTTTTTAATGTATAGATCACAAATAAAGGTAATTTCAAATTTGGAAATTTTTAATTAAAAAATAAAATAGTATGTGCTACAAATGTGATGTCAAGAATGACTTAAGATGTTTGAAGAGCATGGCATAGAATCCATAGGTTTCATTGTAATGTCATATATGGTTTCCATCTATATCCTGGTGTAGGATAATTAAAGGGCAATAAGGTTGTGAAGCACTTAGGAAGCATAGAAACACTAAGTGAAGTCTAAAGCAGCATTTATTATTATTCAATGAATGCAGTATTTGGGTATAAGAAATAGCTCCTATGCCCAACATTAGTAAGCATCTTGAGAAATCACTAGACAAGAGTTGGTCTTTTCACAGTGTTAAAATCTAGCTAGAGACACAGACTCAAGGGAAGAAAAATATATATAATAAAATTGTCTATGACTGCATATCCAAAATGAAAAGTAGGTTTCATATGAGCTCAGAGTAGACATCCCAGTGGCATGGAAAGACTGGGAAGGCTTTATGCTTCAAGGTATTTTTCAAATTCTTGGTAATTTGATAATCTGCATTCTGTAATTATTTTGAATAAAATGAAGTTTACTGCATTTTCTTTTGTTCTGGTTGACCTTAAAGTGCTCAACAATTCAATGAAGCAGACATCTGCAGTTAGTTTTGGTATATAACAGTGGATATCTGGCATAAATTTGTGTTTGCCCTACATGTTATGCTTCTGCTAGAGTGCCTAACACCATGACTGTGGAGAAGACCTGTGTTACAGGGAAACTCTGTGAGTGTGATTTCTTGTCTCTTTGTGTTCCCACACACCCAAAGACCCCACTCTGTAACTTGGGAATTAATGACTGTCCAAATACAGGAAAGTTTTTTCTAGTTTATAGAGAAGCACATCAATCATACACATGCACAGTCACAAACAGCACTTTAATGCATAGTTTTAATTTAGAATCAGTAACTTTAAAGTTCTACATTAATACTCTTCTACAAAAATCAAGTAAGAAGAAAGGATAATTACTAGTTTGACTTTTGGCTTCTTTTCTTACCCACCTAAGCTTGGAGGACAGGATAAGCAATTGTGAAATGGACAGAAGTGGGGGAGAAAGGGAAAAAAAGAGAGTAAGGGAAAGGAAATGTCCTGTATAGTCCTCAGATTGGACAGACTGGCTTGGGATGACCTTGTGAGGGCTATCCAATATGAACAAAGCTTCAGAGACACAGCTGTAGAGGAACACAACAACGAATGTGCTCTACCATTTTTAACAGTAAGGAAGTGAAGGCAGACTTCTCTGGCTGCCTTTAAGAAACTGCTCTGCGGTCTAACCGATAACTTTGTCAGGACTTTGGCTTTATAAAGTTTCCCAATGTGGATATTAAACAGTTGAAATATTATAATACTTGTGAGACCTATTTCAGAAGATATTTCTTAAAACTTACTTAATGTATAGTGCTAGGTCTGTAGCTAAAATAGCTTGCTTGATTATTTTCAATGTGGTCTTGTATTCTTCAATGGAGAGGCCACTAAGAATCTGGTTGCCCTTTATAAAAAAGAAAACATTGTTAGCAGTATACCTGGGGAAAGAGTCATCAGGAACAAACTCTGAGTTAGTCATACATCTTAAATACATGCCTAGGATTCGGAACTCATTAACATGGAGGACAACTGCTTACTTCAGTACCATGAAAAATTTCCCCTCTACATTCTCACTTTCCCCACCCTGTCCTAAAAGAAAAAAGCAGCTATATAATGTTATACCTACCTATGTATCAACATGTGTTCCTAACTCTCACACTTCTTGGGTCTTAGTCTAGACCTAAAATCTAAATAGCTATATATCTTTTCCTTCAGGAAGATTAATTGCTATAATCCAACAAGTGAATATTTGAAAAACCAAAGGTATATTAATGGACGGAAAGAATGAAGTTGTGAAATTTTTATAGCCCAATCATGGAATCAGTCTAGATGTCCATCAACAAATGAATGGATAAAGGCAGTGTGTTACGTACACACAATGAAGTTTCACTCAGCCATTAAAAAGAATGAAATTATGTTGTTTGCTAGAAAAATGGATGGAACTGGAAATCATCATGGTAAGTGAACTAAGCCAATCCCACAAAGACAAGTTTCTCATGTTTTCCCTCATGAAACAAACAAAACAATCAACCAAGGTCATGAAAGTAAAAGAGGGACTACTAGTCAGGTGGAAAGGGAAGGGAAAGGTAGAGAGAGAAGGGGGGATAAGAAAGAGTACTACAGAGGGTGAATATGAGCAAAATACATTATATAGGTGTATGGAAATGTGATGAAACCCCTTACTATATATAATTTAATGTACACCAAGAAAAGAATGGAGTTGTAGAATTTAAAAACAACTGATTATTACAAAGTCATTTCTCTATGACTTTTGTAATAAACCCAGTACCATTTGCGGTGTAAATTTATATATCTTAATATCAAGAACTATGTGTTTCTGAGGACAATATAGGTGGGTAGCAGGCCTTGGCCAGAGGTGTGCTTACTATTGGTGGAATGAGAAACATGGGCTGTGACAGCTACAAGGAATAGTGAAAAGGGGGCTAATTCAGGTGCACATCATTGAAAGCTTTTGCTACATAATCATTTTTTATTTCTTGCCTGTAATTTAAAGCAGAGTGGTTCTCTAATCTTGAAATAAAACACACAACTCAGGCACTCAAGAGTATACTCAACACATCTGTAAATTGAATTATATGTGCTTCCTAAATCTTAGTGCCAAGACAATAATCCAGAGGCTTAAGAATGAGATGTGGAAGCAAAGGATTTGTTATGCTAGAACTGTGGGGTGTGCAAGGCTGGGTACAGGCCCATTGGTTAGATGGTAACTACATGCTGAAATTGTGGCATGGATCTAATTAATGACAAATATCTGTAATTACAACCATAAATATAATTTTTAAATACTAAATCATTTTAGCTCTTGGGCCAAATGAAGTCATTCAAAAGCTTCTATACTTTTATTTACTTTATGATAAAATTATTTCAAGCAGGAAATGAAATGTCTTTTGGTGTTATATTTTTATTTTTGTTTCCAAGAGCAGAGGCTATAATTTTTTGTGTGTAATTATGGTTATAAAGATAGCATATATAGACAGATCTTATGATTTGAGCCAGCCATATATACAACCAGATCCATGCATGTGAAGTAATAACATATTGCATAATAATTTACATTATCTAGTAAAAGAAGTAACTGTGACAGGAAAACTATTAAATATGCTTTCTAAAACTGTTTGCTTTTTGTTTTTTTGCTTTGGAACCAAATTGTAGTATGATAGTAAAGTGAAAGTTTCAGCTAAAGCACATTGACAACAAATTTCAAGGAAAGTACAGATGTTTTTACTATAACACATCATATACATTTCTGCAAAGTCTCAGTTCTGGAAAACTGCACACCAGAAATAACATGGTTTATAGAAAAAATAGTGTTGGGGGCAGACCACTGAAAATCAATACAACTTCAAAACCAGAGTCCAAACTGAACTGAGAACTGGTTCTTCCAGAGGAGACGTGGACTGCTCAGTCCTGTGGGTCTGGAGGCTACATCAAGGATGTGAGAGATGCAAAAATCACCCAGGTGGAAATGCTGCATTGTGAGGTCCTGAGGCAAGAGAACATGCCAAGAGCCTGAAGCAGTTCAAAGCAAGGGAGAGAGCCGAGGGTCCCAGGGCCCATTTTTAATATTTTTAAAATAGAATAAAAAGGGCTTCATGTGTAGGAGCTGAGTGAGCTTTCTTGCTGAAGGTCAAAATTCGACTCCCATAATTCTGGCACCTTTCACCCCAGACAACTTGTGTATGAAATGATACAACTGCTGCAGTACACTGACAACATTCCTCTACTTATCCGTCACACATAATCTAATTCATATAAGCAATTCCAGTTCATAGCAAAACAGTCTGTATTAGACCATATGCAAACTTCCTAAGGAGGTTATCAAAACAGAATATGCAACTTTTTTGGGCAGTGCTAGGAATCGAAGTCAGGGCCTTACACATGTAAAACCTTTACTCTACAACTGAGCTATATCTCCAACCCAGGCTGCATGACTTTTAACCTTTCATCCACACTGAGGTGATTCTAGGAGGGTTAAGAGTGTGTTCCCTTTATCTCAAGTAAGAGAGAGGCATGGAAATTATTTCCTGCTGTCTGTTGGGTGGAGGTGGGATTGGAGTGGACTTGTGTACATTTCCTGTCTGGGATGTCTGAAAGGCAAGGTTCAGACTGGCTAGCCACTCTCTTACTCTGTGGCTATTCAGGGATATCCCCACAAGGGCACTCTGCAGGGATCATGAAATTTCCCATAAGAAAAAACTCAGTTTCAACATCTATCAGGCACAAAGAGTTAGCACTTGGAGCAGTACCAGTCTGTTTAGAATGTTCAGGACCCTCTTCTTGGCTATTATTTTTTTGCCATTCTCCAGCTGGAAGGGTAGGAAACTACATGGTGATCTAGGAGTGAGGAAGGAATTGGAAGAAACACAGGTAATGAATGGGAGAAGCCAACAAAGGCAGTAAGGAGTGAACCAGAAACTTTAAATCAAGTTCAAAATTTGGACTATTATCCAGACTGGACATGTTGGCTTGTGAACTGAGAACTGTATGTTATGTAGTAGGACCCAGAGTAAATAGAGGGCTTTTACTTATAAAACTGTGACCAGAGTGGGACTCCCTGAGTTTTCTTCCAGGGATCAGGGAAGAACTGGCCCCAGTGGGGAAACATACAGACATGGTGTTAAATCACTTCAAGATTATACACTAAGCCTGGTGCTCATTCAGGGTCATAGTTACAACTCTCATTTTTTTTCCTTATCATAAAGGTATCACATGCAGACAAGAGATAATGTGAATAATGAACAAACCAAAAAGAGAAATTATAAATTTCACTAGACAAACACTACTATTAATGTTCTGATATATATATTAATCTTTTCTTTAACATAAGTATGTTTATTTAGCACATTGTATGTTTTCTTACATTGATAAATATTTAACAAAATTGTTGAACAGCTTTATTCCTTAACAAAAAAGTTTGTTAGTGATTAGAAGTTTTGATAAAAACGGGGGGCTGGGGGTTTGGCTCAGTGGTAAAGCACTTAACTAGCAATGCATGAGGCCTTGAGTTAAATCCCCAGCACTGAAAAAAAAAAAAGTATAGTATTGCCTTTTGAAAACAAACCCCAAGCTGTATAAACCACTTCATTTGATTTAAAAAAATCAGAATTAACCAAGAGCCACAAAATACCTGTTCTCTTTCTAATTTGGAGTAACCAAACACAGCTGAGTAGCCAAATTTCCCTTATCAGGCAACATTAGACAGTTCTGGTTGTCTAGAGAAGCAAGGCTGTGGAGATCTCAAATGTTTCAGCTTTGCCTTTCTTACCCAAAAAGGAATAGAGTCTGTGTTCAAGAATTTATGATGCTGGGAATAAGTCCAAAACCTAAAAATAAGACTGAATTTATAATGCTCTCTTTTAAAATTCCACACTAATAAATTAGGTACTTACGGGACTATTGAGAATCATCAAGCATTGGTCAAAGTGATGATGCTCCATGATTGAGTGGCAGTAGAGCTGAGCAAGTGGGTGCTCGCTTCTGAAAAACACATTGTTAAGAAAGAAAGCAACTTCCCAAACACGTCAGTTTAGCTGTTCATTCTTGTTAATGTTACTTAACTAAAAGAGAAGCTACTTCACAAAATTAAACCAACAATTTTCTCTCCTGCTGAGAAAAAGGGTGAGGTTGACTCTGGGAAAGAAAAAGTCGAACTTTTCGAATATCAATGTAATTGCAGACAGTGTGAACAGTATCATTGGTTTTAATATTGAATGAAACAGTAGACGAAGGATAATGACAAAGGACTAATTCCCCCAACCATGAAACAAAGTATTTCTGTGTTGTATTTCAAATATTGTTATACCAACAATATTTTTCAATTTCAAAACTGCAGTTGACTTAAAATGTGAAACAAATTCATATGTTAGCTTTTCCTCTGAAATAAAGATCAAGCCAAAGGTCAATCTTAGCCACATATAAGGAGAAGAACTGATTGAGATGGAGTTAACTGGGTGAGTGACAGAATCCCAGAATCCGAAGGGGGACAGTCAGTGGAAGGAAGGGAGGGAAAGATGAAGAGAGAGAGGGAAGGAGGGAGGGATGAAAAAAAGGAACGAAATGAGGGAGAGGGAGATAGAAAGGTTATTTCAGTGTGGGATATCCTGTTAGCTCTTAATTGAATTTGGGGAAGCAGCAGACACTGGCTGAGAAAGGGGGGGGGATATTATACTATTTATTAGATGTGTGGAACAGTCACAAATAAAGTTCTGAAGCATGATAGGCACAGTTCTCTACCTCATTTTTCTCATGGCCCTTCACACTTGAAAATCGAGCACAGTTTTCACTATTTCTTCTTCAAAAGAAGTACTGAAAACATCTGCTACTAAAATTTACAGGAGAGGGGTTTATTAATTGCAAAGCTTCACACAAGCATTAGGTAATATCATTGGTTTGTTATTTCTCCATACTACTATTTGAACCATTATTTTGCTTTGCATGTGATTTGTTGGGGATAGAGAAGTTGTCCAAGGCTGAAGAAATGCAATGTAGGAAAAAAATGTAGGATAGTGAGAGAAGCTTCAGGGAAAACACAAATAATAAAATGAAAATAAAGAGAATGAATAATCTCAACCTATTCTTATTGCTTAAACTACCTGTCTGCTTGTCTTCTTTGCTCGCATATTTAATGAGTTGTAATATGGAGCAAGTACCATGCTCACCATTGGAAAATGGAAAGTAACATGAGCAGATTCGTGAAAAAGTATTTGCTGGAAACAAGACAAGGGAGAATTCCAAGATGGCGGCTAGAGGTAGGAAGCAGAAAGCGACCCTCCTATAGTGAAATCTTGGAGAGACGCTGGAGACACACTTTGCAGGCATAATCACCGAGAAAAGGCATAACTTTGACTCCTCCACATCTCCAGCCGGCGCAGAGAATCTCCACTTCACGTTAAACTGAGAACCGAGGAGGGCCCCCAGGGCCGCCAGTGGCCGGCGCCCATACGGCTTGGGAAGACGCGGACCAGGTGAGCTTCGCGGTACCGCGGTTCCCCCACAGACAAGCCTGGGCCAGAGCAGCATAGCCCCCTGGACAGACTGACCTCCACCCAGGAAAAAAAGAGAAACTGAGTACTAAGCAATAGGAACAGTTAAGACACGCTGCAAAGAGGGTGGGGCACCCTGAGCGCTGAAGATTGGGGGAAGGGAACCCTTCCCGGGACTGTAAATAAACGAGCCGAGCCGGGCAGGCCGGAGAGGCTCTGGCGGGAGCGGGGCGCGCCCAGCAACCAGGAGCGGGGAAGCTTGTGAGAGGAGGGAAGACCCACTTCCCACGTGAACTGTAAATAAACACGCAGGCCTGATAACGCGGGGCAGTGTCACCTTTCCCAGTGCTTGGAAAGGGGAAAGCCTGTAGCAGAGGACCCCCCGCACAGGAGAACTCTGAGCAAACAAAGCCTGTGGGACCAGGTGAGTGCTAGCTCACCCCAGAGATCTGCATAAATAACGCCGCCAGCTACAGGCTGAGAGCAGCAGGCAGGCAAGCCACAGTTGCAGATACCACTCTCAGAACTGCCTCCAGATGCTTTTTTTTCTTTTTCTCCCTACCTTTGATGAGAGAACAACCGAATTACACCTGCAAGCCGAAAAACTTACTGAAACTGTATTGCATTTGAACTGGGGACACTTGGTGGGGCTTTTTTTTTTTTTTCTTCTGTGTGTGTGTGAGTGTAGTTTTGTTCTACTTTATGCATCCCTTTGATGAGACAACTACAGAACAACATCTGAGGCACCAACTCCAGGACTGGAGATTGAGACGGACATCCAAATTATTAAGACTGAAATTGCATTGCATATAAACTTGGAAGTTTTTTGGTTTTTTTTTTTTTAATTTTCTATTTTCCATTTTATTTTAATTCATTTTTATAATAGATATTACTTTCATATACTTATTTTTTATTTTTTTATCTTTGATTTTCAATCTCTCTGTCTCTATTGTCTGTTCAGCTTACTGTCGATTAGTACACTAACACTCCCTGTTTATACCTTTGAAACTCTCTTGTCTGATACCTTGTTCTGCTTTCTCCCTCTTGTCTGTATATTTGTTTTCCCCTTTTCTTTAACTTCTTGCTTTCCATCTCAGCTCACTCTTCCATTCTCAATATTACCATTGTTATTATTACAAGCTAGAAAATACTTAATTACACACAGTACAGGGACAGTAACAACACCAAGGACAATGACAGGAAGACAGAAAAAACAAGGAAACCAGTTTCCCCACAGCAAAAAATTAGTACAGGAACCAGAGGGGAATGAAGAGAACAGAAACTCAGATCCAGACTCCAACAAAATGAAGATAAACTATGCCAAAGGACCCAATGAAGCCCACAAGAATAATTTAAAAGAAGACATACTACAAGTACTCAATGAGAATTTTATAGAGATGATACTGGATAGGGTCAACCAAAATGTACAGGAGACACTCAAGAAATTCCAAGACAATAAAAATAGAGAATTTGAAAAAGCAAAAGAAGAAATAAAGGAAACCATAGAAGCACTGTATAAACACCAAAGTGAAAGAGAGAACACAATGAATAAATGGATAAATGAACTCAGGACAAAAATAGACAACAATAAAGAAGAAAACAGCCAGGATATGGAAAACCTCAGAAAAAAGAACGAAACAGAACTGCAAAACAAAACGGAAGGCCAATCCAGCAGAATAGAACAAACAGAAGACAGAATCTCAGAACTTGAAGATGAAATGGTAATTAAAGGAAAAACTGAAGAACTATTAATTAAACAACTCAAGACCTGTGAAAAGAAAATGCAAGAACTCACTGACTCCATCAAAAGACCAAACTTGAGAATCATGGGCATCGAAGAAGGAGAAGAGGTGCAAGCGAAGGGAATGCGTAATATATTCAACAAAATAATAACGGAAAATTTCCCAAATCTAGAGAAAGATATTCCCATACAAATGCAAGAGGCCTCCAGGACACCAAACAGACCAGATCAAAATAGAACTACTCCACGACATATCATCATTAAAACAACAAGTTCAGAAACTAAGGAAAGAATATTGAAGGCTGTAAGAGAGAAAAAACAAGTAACATACAAAGGTAAACCCATCAAAATCACAGCAGACTTCTCAACAGAAACATTAAAAGCAAGAAGAGCGTGGGGTGAGATCTTCCGGGCACTGAATGAAAATAACTTCAACCCCAGGATACTCTACCCAGCAAAGCTATCATTCAAAATAGATGGAGCAATAAAAGTCTTCCATGATAAGCAGAAACTAAAACAATATGTGACCACAAAGCCACCATTACAAAAGATTCTGCAAGGGATCCTGCACACAGAAAGTGACACCCAACTTAACCATGAAAAGGCAGGCAGCACCAAACCACAGGATAAGAAAAAGCAAGACAGTAGAGAGTAACATCAAGTTAGGTACACACAATCAAACCTTCAAACAACTAAGATAACTAAATGGCAGGAATCACCACATACCTATCAGTACTAACACTTAATGTTAATGGACTTAATTCACCCATCAAAAGACACCGTTTGACAAAATGGATTAAAAAAGAAGATCCAACAATTTGTTGCTTACAGGAGACTCATCTCACCGACAGAAATAAGCATATGCTTAGGATGAAAGGCTGGAAGAAGATTTACCAAGCCAATGGCCCCCGAAAACAAGCAGGAGTAGCAATACTTATCTCTGACAAAGTAGACTTCAAACCTACATTGATCAAACGAGATAAAGAAGGACATTCCATACTAATAAAAGGGGAAATAGACCAAAAGGAAATAATAATCATCAATCTGTACGCACCCAATGTCAACGCACCCAATTTCATCAAACATACCCTGAAAGACCTAAAAGCATATATAAACGCCAACACAGTGGTTGTGGGAGACTTTAACACTCCATTATCATCAATAGATAGGTCATCCAAACAAAAACTCAATAAAGAAATCCAAGATCTAAAATATGCAATAGATCAAGTGGACCTAGTAGATGTCTACAGAACATTTCATCCAACCTCTACACAATATACATTCTTCTCAGCAGCCCATGGAACCTTCTCCAAAATAGATCATATCCTAGGGCACAAAGCAAGCCTCAGCAAATATAAGAAAATAGAAATAATACCATGCATACTATCTGACCACAATGCAGTAAAAGTAGAACTCAACAACAAAAGTAAAGACAAAAAACATGCAAACAGCTGGAAACTAAATAACTCATTACTTAATGAAGAATGGATCATCGATGCAATAAAAGAGGAAATTAAAAAGTTCCTGGAAGTCAATGAAAATGAAAACACAACCTACCGGAACCTATGGGACACAGCTAAGGCAGTCTTGAGAGGAAAGTTTATAGCCATGAGTGCATATATTAAAAAGATTGAAAGATCCCAAATCAATGACCTAATGATACATCTCAAACTCCTAGAAAAACAAGAACAAGCAAATCCCAAAACAAATAGAAGGAGAGAAATAATAAAAATAAGAGCTGAAATCAACGAAAT